ATGTTATTCATAACCAGCAATAGAACACAAATTGTCTACTGTTGCCTTTTCAGCAGATCTGAGTGTTGGGGTAAAATCTCAAATAATAATGGTGGGTCTGGTGTCGAAATATCGAATGTGATCAAAGTAGAGAGAGACTACTGTGGAAATCATCTGCCCCACAGGTAGGGGGAGGGTGTGGGATGGGGGGATACTGGGGTTGTTGGGGGTGGAGAATGGGCACTGGTGAAGGGGCGGGTGTTTCATTGAATGACCGAGACTTAGACCCGAAAGCTTTGTAACTGCTCTCACGGTGATTCAATAAATAAAATTGTAAAAAAATGGAAAAAAAATCCACGAGGTGACTTTCAGCTCCATCTGAGGAAACTGAGGCACAGGGTTTGGTAACTTGTCTAAGATCACTCGGTTAGTGATTTTAAAATAATTTAGGAGCTAACGCAGCAGTTGGGCGCTTGTCTTGCCTATGGCCCGCCCGGGTTTAATCCCTGACATCCCAAGAGGTCCCAGGAGTAATTAGACTATCAGGGGAAAAAATGGTGGCAGAAAGGAGGAGTTGGAGAGATGGTCCAGTGGGTCAGAGGCCCTTGCCTGGCACGAGGCCGACCTGGGTTTGATTCTCCCCGGCATCCCATATGGTCCCCCGAACACCGCCAGGAATGATCCTTAAGCATCGTCAGATATGGCCCAAAACAAACAAAAGAGAGTGTAGTGAGTTGAGGGGTTCTCTCCAAATTTTACATTTTCCTTTTTTTTTTCTTTTTGTGTCACACGCGGCGATGCTAGGGGTTCCTCCTGGCTCTGCACTCAGGAATTACTCCTGGTGGTGCTCGGGGGACCCTATGGGATACCAGGAATCAAACCCGGGTCGGCCGCGTGCAAGGCAAATGCCCTCCCCGCAGTGCTATCGCTCCAGTCCCAAATTTTACATTTTCTTAATGTGATCCTTGCTGTGTCGCTGTTTCAGGGCTGTACTCTGCCCTCCTGTCCCTTTAGATGCCTTTTTTTTTTTTTGCTTTTTGGGTCCCTCCCGGTGATGCCCAGGGGTTCCTCCTGCCTCTGTACTCAGGAATCACTCCTGGCGGTGCTCGGGGGACCCTATGGGATGCCGAGATTGAACTTTAGTTGGCTGCATGCAAGGCAAACACCCTCTCCACTTTGAGATCGCCTTGGGCATCTTTTTGTTGAGGTTCCATTGGCTCCAAATATTGGCCAGCTTTGGGGGCAGAAGCCATGACCGGTGTCCCTAAAAGTCTGCAGCTCACATGCTTCTCCCAGTGGTCAAGCCCTGTGACACCCCCCACCACCTGCTCATGTCTGCTTGGATCTTAGTTTCATTTTCTTCTTTCTGTCACTTGTCCTGCCATACTGTCATTCCACCGGATTGCATTTTTCTTCTTATTTTCTCCATATCATCATAGTCATATTTTTTTCTCTCCGTCATGTGACGGTGTTAAGGGGTGCTGTTCCCTACCCATTGGCCACTGCATGGGTCCCTCGGGTGCGGGGCTCGGGAAGCAGGTGGGGGAGGGGTTTGTTCTGAATTGCTGTTCTTCCTCCTCCTGGGTTTCTCTGTGTTCTTTCAGTGTCTCCTTTCACTTTGCGAAATCCTGGTTTTTACTGCTGGGGCCAGAGCCATAGCACAGCGGGGAGGGTTGTTTGCCTTGCATGTGACCCACGTGGGTTCCATCCCCAGTATCCCAAAGGGTCCCAGAGCACCACCAGGAATAATTCCTGAGTGCAGAGCCAGGAGGAACCCCTGAGCATCACCGGTTGTCACCCAAAAAGCAAAAGCAAAAAACAAAACAAGACAAAAAATAAAGAAAACTGGGGAGGGGGACAGGAAAGGCCAGCGGGGTGGGGGAGGGAGAAAGGATCTATCCCCAGCTGAGTCTTTCTGGAGGCCAAGGCAGGAAGGTCCAGGGAGGAAGGGCCAAACCCCCCAAGGTCAGCAACCCCCCAAAAACTGAGTGTTTCCTTAGACATGCTGCCCATAGAGTGCTTTCCTGAATGCTTCTCCCCAGACACACGGACCCCCTTGTGGTGCTGGTGGGGGCTTGGGGATGAGGGGTGGCGTTGATCTCGGCGGACCTTGCAAGTGTCTGCCCAGACCCCCACCCCAGAGGGAGCAGAGAGAAGCCAAACATGCCTAGATTAGGTTGTGTGGACCCCCGGGGTCGGAGGAAACATTACACAGAAGAGCCACTGAAAATCCTCCAGCCCAGGCAAAAGGAGGTACTGGGAGCAGCTGGGGGTCCCCCGGAACACATGGCCTCCACAGGGTCCTTGACACAGAACCTCCATGGTGAGATCACCGCATCTGAGGGTGCAGATCGGGAAACTGACGCTCACAAGAGGACGCTCACCAGCGCATGCATGGGACATCTGCCAAGAGTCGAGGCCAGGAAGCTCCTCAGGAAGGCTGGGTTGGGGGTCCGCCCTTCTCAAGCTGGAATCCACCTCTTCTCCCAGGAGACTAAATTAGAGGGTCTCCTGGGAGCACCGGGGGCGCTCAGGGAGGTGTGGGGCCCGAGCTCTCTGCACCGTGGTGGGGGTCCCGTCCCTGCTAGGGGCCATCATCGCCTTGCCTGGGTGGGAACGGGAACCCCAGCCTCAGAGCCGACCATTGTATCAATGTGATGTTTAACGACTTTTTTTTCTGAAAGTGGTAAAACAAATATGGGATCACATATCTACAAGGGTACCTGGTGGCACTGGTCCATCACCTCCGGGCTCCCCAGGGCTGGGGAAAGCTGCTCAGAGAATCTCCCCATTCCCGGCCCCCAAGGTCTTCTCCAGACTCAGTTTCCCCTCTGAGCTGCTCCTCGCCTTGGGCACACCGCCTCAGTGTCCCTGGGTCTAGGACGTCTTCTCTGGCCCCGTCCTGCGCCCTCACGGTCCCCAGTGCAGGATTGAGGGGTGAGGGGTGGGCAGCCCTGAGGGCTCTCAGTTCCTCGTAGCACCCGGGTCTGCCGGTGGGGGCCCTCTGCGGTCTCTGCTCTCGCAGACCCCCATCTCCAGGAGGGGCGTCCTGGGCTGTCATCACCTCGCCTGGGTGGGAACGGGAACCCCGGCCTCAGAGCCGACCATTGTATCAATGTAATGTTTAATGACTTTATTTTTTTTCAGAAAGTAGAAAAATAAATATGGGATTGTAGGATGACATTGCTTTGTCCTTCCTTCGTGTCTCCACAAGGAGCTTAGGTTGATCTGGTTACACCCGTCACAGTGCTCCTGAGGCACTTCCATTCCATTGTGTTCATCTGTAAATTCTTCCCTATGCCCACCCAGGGACGCCAGACGCGTAAACTCAAAAAAGACAGCAGCCGTGGTGGCTCTGTCTCTCCCACGCCCGCGTTCGGTATCTCACGCCGGTTCCCCCACCCTGGGGAGGTCGATGGCGATGGGCAGGCTGGTTGGTCTTAGTTGTGGTTTATTCAATTTCCCATCTCCATTCTCCTCTGATTCTCCTCCTGCCTCTTCCTCCCCTGTGCTCCTTCATTCTCCGTCTCCATCCCCCTTCATCCTCCTTCTCTGGAGTCTGGATTCTGATTCTGAGCCCCTTTCTCCTCTTGCTCTGGAATCTGGAGACTGACGTCTGATCCCCCCAGCCCACTCTTACAGTCTAGTTAAACCCCAAAGCATGAGGGGTTGGGGTAACAATTACACGTAGGTGTGATCACAATCAATAGGGGTAGAATTCTTTCCCTCCTAGGGAATCCGCTCCTAGGACAGATTCCATTATCAGATCAATCCACCCGAGAGAGGAATCCCCTGGGTGTGTTTCTCCTCTCCTTGTCCAACAAACATATAAGCATTCATAATATAAATCATTTTGTATGGATACAGTAAGAAATACCTTAAACTTGCAGAATTGCTCTCCTAGGGCCATCTCGATCTCAGACTACAGTGCTCAGACCAAATAGTCTTTCCTATCCCTAGCAGGGTCCTAGTCTCGTCGTTACTTTTGGATCATGACAGCATTTGTCTATGATCAAACTCTTAACTTATAGTTAAGAATCGTGGCACTTTGGCCTGACCCATTTCGATGCCAGGGTAGCTCACCACTCGCCCTGGGTCCATTCAGTCCCTCATCGGGACCCTGCTTTTGGGGTGTTAGGAACTAAGGGCAACTGAGGCTTAAGTCGAGAAAGCAGATGCCCAGGAGTGAATAATATTCAAAGCCAATTAAATCCTAACTTACAAAGCATACTGTTAACGGTCTTTCTGTATCTATACAAAAAGGGCATTGCTCTAAAATAAACTATTCAAAAGACATAAGGAGAGGAGAAAGGCAATATTAACTTACAACACAATTTCAGTGTCCTAGAAGGATCTGACCTTACAAATGAACAGATTCTGATTAGAGGAAAAGCTGATTAACTGGTTGGGGAGGAGAGCACAGGGAAGAGTTTACAGATAAACACAATGGAATGGAAGTGCCTCAGGAGCACTGTGATGGGTGTAGCCTGATAAACCTAAGCTCCTCGTGGAGAAAAGGAGAAAGGACAAAGCAATGTCATCCTATACGGGATCACATATCTACAAGGGTACCTGGTACCTGGTGGCACATATCCATCATCCCCGGGCTCCCCGGAGCTGGGGAAAGCTGCTCAGAGAATCCCCCCATTCCCGGCCCCCACGGTCTTCTCCAGACTCAGTTTCCCCTCTGAGCTGCTCCTCGCTTGAGCACACGGCCTGAGTGTAGCTGGGGCCAGGACGTCCTGCGCCCTCACAGTCCCCAGTGCAGGATTGAGGGGTGAGGGGTGGGCAGCCCTGAGGGCTCTCAGTTCCCCGGAGCACCCGGGTCTGGCCAGCGGGGGCCCTCTGCGGCCTCTGCTCTTGTGGACCCCCATCTCCAGGAGGGGCGTCCCGGTCTGTCCCGGTGTCCCCGTGGGGACAGGACACTGCGTCAAGATGACAGCACTTAGCAAAGACTCCGGGGGCCCTGGGGGAGCCCAGAGCTGGTTCTCGGGGTGCGGTGGGCTGGGCACACGCGTTCCTTAGAGGACTTCATCATAGATGACCGGCCTGGGTGCTTCCGGGTTCTTGGGCAGTGAGGGGGCTTTGTTCATCTGGGGAGACAGGATGGGTCGGAAGGTTACAGGGCAGGGGCCAGGTCACACCTCCAAGGCACCCCCGATTCATGGGCACTCCTCAGGCCCTCAGGCCCCACCCAAGGCCGTTCAGGGTCACCCACACCCGCATCCCAAAGCTCGCCCTCATTCATCTGCAGGGGTGGGGGTTCCAGAACTTTCCTCCCTTCTACTGCCTTCCGCTCCAGCTTCTGGAACCTTCATTACATCTGTTACCCTCTGCCCCAGCTTCTGGAACCTTCCTTTCTCCAGTGGGTCACCCGCACCCCCAGCGAAGACAATGGGGACCTCTGGAACAGCTTTGCCAGCCAGGGAGAAACTGAGTCCCCTGCCCAGTCCAAGGCAGGAAAGTGGAGCTTGAGGTGGGAAAAGGCCCTTGGGGGCGCACAGGGGGTCCCCCAAACACGCACCTTCTGGGGGACCTGCACCGTCGAGTACAGCGTGTTCACGGGAGTGACCGGGACATGCAGAACGCAGTCGTACTCTGCTGACTCCCTGTTGTGAGAGAGAGTCTCCCTCTTCTCGCCAGCGGGCTCTGGAACCGGTGGGGAAGGTCAGCGCGGGCTCCCCCTACCCCAGCAGCTGTCCCAGGCGAAGTGGGCGTGTCCCCAGGCACTAAGAAGTGGGCGTGTCTCCCAGGGGATAAGAAGTGGGCGTGTCCCCAGAAGCTAAGAAGTGGGCGTGTCCCCAGGAGCTAATAAGTGGGCGTGTCCCAGGACCTCCAGGAAGTGGGTGTGGGTGTGGGGTGGTTCCTGCAGGGCGGCCCCTCCCCTCCCACCCCGCACTCAGCAAAAGGGGAAGGCCAGCAGGGCCGCTGAGTGGCCAAAGGGTCTCAGCGGTCTCAGGCTGGGGGTGCTGGACGTGGGCTTTGTGTAGCAGCCCTGGGGTCCCAAGCTCCACCGGGAGTCCTGAGTCCTGCCCCCAATCTAAAGCAGCTGCACCAAGGCGGGTGCAGATCTGGGCTCCCGGGAGGCGTGAGGACCCCTGGGGCCTGGCAGAGGAGGGGTCGGCGTTAGCTCCCCCCCCGGCCCGCTCTGCCTGCAGGAACCCTAAAACACACGGTGGCCTCGAAGCTGCCCCCCTCCCCGTCCCACTGGCCTCGTGGACACGCGGCCGAGGCAAGAGAGAGAAGCAGCTTCACCTCCAGACTTCCGTCTCTGCAGATGCAGAACCACTGGGATCACAGCCACACAGGCCAGGAGCACTGTCAGGGGGAGCAACAGTGCCAGGAGAAACTTGGCTTGGCCATCAGGCTCTGGAAGGAGAGAAGGGGCCGGGGTTCGAGGCCTGCTGTGTTCCTGTGTCCACCCTCTCTCCCGGAAGCAGCTCAGGGCTGAGCACAGCATTTCTGAGCACTGGTAGCGAAGTCGGGTCAGGCCTCCCTGCCCTGGACCTCTCTTGCCAACCCACCCCCCCAGAATCATCACAGTGGCGTTGTTCTGGGGCTGGACCAATAGCACAGCGGGGAGGGCGTTTGCCTTACATGTGGCTGACCCGGGTTCAATCCCCGGCATCCAATAAGGTCCCCCGAGCACCGCCAGGAGTCATTTCTGAGTGCAGAGCCAGGAGGAACCCCGGAGCATATCCGGATGTGACCCAAAGAGCAAAAAAATAAAATGAAATATAAAAAAAAAATAACGATGGAGATGTTACTGGGCCCACTCGAGCAAATAGATGAACAACGGGAGGACCGTGACCGTGACCGTGACCGTGACCGTGACCATGACCAGTGATGGTCTTAGGTTGCTGTTCTGGCACTAAGAGTCAGGCCAGCACCAATAGTAGTGGCAAAGGAAACAGCCTCGGGGATGCAGGAGCCTGGCAGAGCAGAGAGAGGAGCAGAGGAGTCTCCGACAGGGTCGCCCGCTGGCACCTTCCTCACCTTCACAGAGCTCCCTGGCAGACACCGGGTGAGAGCTGTTCCTGCTCACAGGGTTCCTGGCCGTGCAGACGAAATGTCGGTCACTGCTGCCTGGCCTCCAGGTGATGGTGGGGAGGGCAGGGCCTTCCCAGCTCCCGTTGGCCAACTCCCAGCTGTACGTCACCGCAGTTTCCTGTAGCACCGAACACGTCAGGTTGGCCAGGCAGGTCCCATTCTCCGTGTGCCACTTGGTCTTACTCACGATGGGCCTGGGCAGGGGCTCTGGGGGCAGAGGGAGACGCCGAGTGGAGCAGCCCTCAGGCCCTCCCAAGGGACCCACAGCAGGCTGAGTCTCCTGGCTGTTGTGAGTGGGCACAGCTGGCAGAGCTCAGAGCTGTGCTAAGAGTGAGCTCAGCTGGGAGTGACTCTGAGCACAGAGCCAGGAATGAGCCCTGAACACAGAGCCACGAGTCAGCCCTGAGCAGAGCCAGGAGTGAGCCCTGAGCACAGAACCACGTGTGAGCTCTGAGCATAGAACCAAGATTGAGTCCTGAGCACAGACAAGAGTCAGCTCTGAGCACAGAAACAGGAGTGAGTCCTGAGTACAGAGCCAGGAGTCAGCCTTGAGCACAGAGCCAGGAGTCAGCCTTGAGCACAGATCTGGGAGTCAGCCCTGAGCACAGAGCCAGGAATCAGACCTGAGCACAGAGACAGAAGTCAGCTCTGAGCACAGAGACAGAAGTGATCCCCGAACACAGAGTCGGGAGTCAGCCCTGAGCACAGAGTGAGAAGTGACCCTGACTCAAAGCCCTGATTCCCGAACCCACTTCCTCACTCGTCAGTTAGGGGCACGTCTCCACCCACTAGGCTCTCCGCGCCTGGAAGTTCTTGCCCTCCCGTTACAGACGTGGGGACAGAGGCCAAAGCGAGTCCTGACTCGGTGGCGGCCAGGCGCTCTGTCCTGGGCTCTGTGACCAGCCCCTTCCGGACTGCATGGCCCCTGCCCCTCTGCCCGCACTGGCCTCAGGTGCCCGACGCCCGGAGGGTCCTGCTCACCGTAGACACGCAGCGTGTACTCTTGCAGGAGAGGCTGCGGCTGCTCAGAGCTATGCAACTCCACCCGGTAGGTGCCCGCGTCCGCCAGCTCCAGCCGGCTCAGGCGCAGGGAGTAGTTCCGGTGCACCAGATCCAGCCGGGGTCGCTTCAGCTGTGGGCCCACGATGACCTGCCTGTGGGTGGTGTTCTGCTGGAGGCTGGAGAGGAACGTGGTGTTGAAGGTCCAGACCACCAAGTCTACTTGCTGCAGCGCGTGGCATAGGGGGAAGGTCACCGCATGCCCCACGGCGCCCACCAGGTCCCTCTGGGTGCAGGCGGCCGACACTGTGGATACAGAGAAGGGGTCTCAACTGCCCGCCCACGCCTTAGCCGGCAGCAGAGCCCTGGCCAGTGTGGGGGTGCCTGGACACGTCCCACACAGAGCTCAGGGTCTCTTGAGTGCCAGGAATCAGTGGATTGTCACAGCCTTGCTTTGCCCCCAGCTGTGGTTGGTGCTGATGTGGGGGCCCCCAGGCTGGCCACGGAGATGCCACTGCTTGCAAACCCTAATACTCCCAAGAGCAAACGAGGAGAGCTGCCCTGCACAGGGCATGTCAAGCACACTCAAGGCCTGAGGGGTCTGGAGGCTGGAGTGATAGCACAGCGGGGAGGGCATTTGCCTTGTCTGCGGCCGACCCGGGTTCGATTCCCAGCATCCCATAGGTCCACTGAGCACCGCCAGGAGTCATGCCTGAGCACAGAGCCAAGAGTAACACCTGAGCATCGCTGGGTGTGACCCAAAAAGAAAAAAAAAAGACCTGAGGAATCTGGAGTGATAACACGGCAATAGGGCGTTTGCCTTGCACGCGGCTGACATGGATTCGATTCCCAGCATCCCATAGGGTCCCCTGAGCACTGCCAGGAGTAATTCCTGAGTGCAGAGCCAGGAGGAGCCCCTGGGCATCGCTGGGTGTGATGAAAAAAAACAGACCTGCGGGGTCAGCCCAAGACCTAGGACACCCCCACCCAGATCCCTTTCATGTCCTTTAGTGGTCCCCCAGCAGACATCGGCTTATGCCATCGATGGACTGGCCCGGAGCCAAGATTCTTCTCAGTTCAGCGCTGAGGGTCAGTTTGGTGTATCCTGCTCACTCCCAGCCGGCCGGCCAGAGCTTACAGTCGAGGGTAAGGCAGGGTCGACCCCTCCCGTTTCACTCTCCTGCTTTGGGGTCACCACCCCCTGGATCACCACCTTTGCTGCAGCTGCCCAGGTGGACCCGAAAACAGGATGGGGTTGTGGTGAAATAAGAGTGGAAACTGCACCCCACCCCCTGTCTCCGGGTACCCTGGAACTCAGGGCCCATCTGCGAAATTTCACAGATGGGGGCATGTGTGAACCCCCCAAAGTGTGATTTCAGGGGGTGGGACTCTCTCACTTCTCACTTTTTTATTACCTTTGGTTTTTGGGCGATTCCCGGCAGTGCTCAGGGTTAAGTTTGATCTTTTTTTTTTTTTCTGCTTTTTGGATCACACCCAGTGATGGTGGCGGTGCTTGGAGGACCTATGGGATGCTGGGAACCGAACCCAGGTCAGCCGCGTGCAAGACAAACGCCCCACCCACTGTGCTATCGCTCCAGGCCCCAAGGTTTAATTTACATTCAGGAATCACCCAGCGGGGGGACCGTACGGGAGGCCAGGGATGGAAGCCAGGCAGGCCACGGGCAAGGTCAGCGCCCTCCCCACGGTGCTCTCACTCCAGAGCCCTCTTCTCACTCTTGCTCTCAGGGAGCACATGTCAGAAGTGGGGGCCCCCTTGCCGTGCTCTGCGTTTCGCCAGGGGACTCGGAGGGCCGGAGATGACTGTAAATCCAGAACCACGTGTCAGTTCAGCACCGTCTCCTCCACTCAGGATGGGGGCTCTGAGGGACACTCCCTGGATGCCCCAAATATGACCGGGAGGGGAACAGGTCACACGCCTGGGGTCACTTCTGCTTCCTTTTCCCGGTTGACTATACAAAGGATCCAGAAACGAGAGGGATGGGCCTCAGGCAGGCCAGCTGCACTGAGCCCTGAGCACAGAGCCGGGAGTCATCCCTGAGCACAGAGCCAGGAGTCATCCCTGAACACAGAGCCAGGAGTCAGACCTGAGCACAGAGCCGGGAATGACCCCAAAACCCTCCCACCCACCCCACCCCCAGGATCGAGGCCAGTTCAGGAGGCATGAGCATCCCCCCTAGAAGAAACCCTGATTGTCTCTGAGCTGGAACAGTGCCCAGCTTTGGTTCCAGGGAGAGGCCCCAGGGTGGGTCCTCCAGCTTGTCCTGTGCCCCAGGGCTCTGGGAGCAGCAGGGGTCTGGGTAAGGGTAGACAGGGCCCAGGGCTGAACCTTTGGTTCTGGTGAAAAAAGAAACTGCAATTTAAAAAAAGAAAGTGAGGGGCTGGAGCCATAGCATAGCCTGGAGGGTGTTTGCTTTGCATGTGACCAACCCGGGTTCCATGCCAGCATCCTATAAGGTCCCTCGAGCAATGCTGGGAATAATTCCTGAGTGCAGAGCCAGGAGTGACCCCTGAGCATCACCAGCTGTGACCCCCCCAAAAAATAACCAAGAAAATAGAAAAGAAAGAAAGAGAAAGTGAGATGTCAGTTTGGAGAGAGTTCCTGACTCCCCTGACTTCTTGTCCCCATCATCGCTTTCCAAAACTGGGCCCACCAGCCTGGTCAGGGGATGGTCAGCCCCGGGAGCAGATGGACTCGCACCCAGCCCCTCTGCTCTGCCCTCACCCAGGAGGAGTTTGCCCCAGAAGCAAGACACTCACCTGTGCAGAGGACCCCAAGGGCAAGCAGCTGGAGGCACACCCCAAATTCACCCATGCTGCTGCTGCTGCGAACAGACCTACATCTCCTTGACCCCACAGGGCTTTTAAAAGAAGAGGTGGGAGGGGCCGTTTTCTCTGATTGGCTCGGGAAGCCCAGGAGGGCGTTCCCCCCCCAAAGAGCAGAGCTCACGCTTAGGGGGGCTAAGATCACACTCCCAGATCTCACACCCCCGTCACAGAGGTAATATTAGAGGAAGTGAGGGTGGGGAACCAGTCAAGTTGCTGGGGTGATTGGTTCGAGCTTTTCCACTTCCTTGTTCTGATTCTTCCCCTACAGGCCAGAGCAAGCAGGGACACTCGCCCACACCCTGGGACCTTCCGCAGACGGTCTACACCTGTGCTGGGAACAGCGGCTCTTCATAGTACAAAAGGTCAAACAATTTTTGTTTGCTTGTTTGGGGACCACACCCGGAGGTGCTCAGGGTGTCCTCCTGGCTCTGTGTTCAGGAATTACTTCCGGTGGTGCTCAGGGGACCCTATGGGGTTCTGGGGATCACCAATATGCAAGGCAAGTGCCTTTCCCACCATACTATGCTCCGACCCCTGGGCAAAACATTTGGGATGGGGGACTGGAGCGATAGCACAGCAGGGAGGGCGTTTGCCTTGCACGTGGTCGACCTGAGTTTGATTCCCAGCATCCCATAGGGTCCCCTGAGCACCACCAGGAGTAATTCTGAGTGCATAGCCAGGAGGAACCCTTGTGCATCGCTGGGTGTGACCCAAAAACCAAAAAAATAAAAGATAAAACCATTTGGGATGAAACTCGGGGAACACAAAAAGCAAAAAAAAAAAAAAAGACAAAAAAATATAGTCGAGGGGGTATGGTGCCACCAGCAGGTTAGTCTGTACCTGTGACCCCAAAATCTTGGGGCAAAGTTTACCAAGAAAGTCACAATCACAAATCATCCTGTTATTCGTCGATTGCCTCGAGCAGGCCCCAGTAACGTCTCTTTAATCCTAGCCCTGAGATTATATTCAAGGCTCTTTAGGAGAATGAGACCCGTCATTGTTACTGGTATTTGGCATATTGGGTACGCCACGGGGAGTTTGCCAGACTCTGCCCTGTGGGCAGGCTACATTCGATAGCCTGCAAGTTTGTCCAAAGTAGGAATGAGATAATAAGAAGTCATAATAAGATGTCGCGCGGCCGCGACTTGTAGATCTCGGCCCCGGAACCCGCGTGGCTTTGTCCCTCTGCCAGTACCTTCATGTGTGCGGAGAGTGGTCTCGGCATGGTGGTGGCTGGTCCTGGAGGTCTTCGGCTGCCGAAGCCCCGGTCGGGGCGGGGAGGAAAGCTCAACCCGCTCCCCTCCAAGGGGCCTTGGCGAGGAACAGCCAGGCGCGGGGGCAGAAGACTGCACTGTTCTCGTCCGGGAGCTGGATTTTATAGTCTCTGAGTCTTGGCCGTTGATGGGATTACACGGCGCCAGGGGGCCAGTTGGTGGGTGTGACCGCCACCTACTGGAATTTGGAGGATCTGGGTGGAGGCCATCGAGCATCCTCCACTGAGCATCCTCCACCAAGAAAGTAAACGGCCATAAGTTAGGTATGTGGGAGACACACCCACAAACCACCTCCGGCTCAGCTATATAAATGGAGGCATGGCCTCTCTGGTTCCTGATCGAACTGCTTAACAGCCATGATCCCAGAGACTCAGAAACGAATCTCGGAACCCAAAGGCACTTTTGGCAGAAATGAGTCCTGTTCCTGCAAGAGGTTACTGGCGCTGGGCCACTCCAGGTGGGAATAGGTTTCGTGCCTTGGCCAGTTCCCCCTGGTGAACCAGTGACCGCCATCCTCCAGAGGCCACTGGACAGTTAGGTTTGGTGCAGTGACAAGACACGCGGGACTTCACCAGATGGGAGTGGAACCTGCCCTTCCTCCCCAACCCAAAGAGACCCCGAATCGCCACCTACAAACAGCCTCTCTGGCTCCTGATCAAGCTGATTAATGGCCATGATCCCAGAGACTCAGAAACAAATCTCGAATCCCAGCGGCTTTTGGCAGAAATGCATCTGAACTGCATACAAGGTGGTCACCGCCTCAGAGCTTATAGAAAAGCCAGGTATGAGCCAGCGGTGACAGAGCAACTGCAGTCTCATGGGAAGGGGGGGTGGTACCGGCTCATTCTTCATGCCCTACTGAAGTCACGGGTTGCCCCCCATATGTGACTCTGCGGCACGGCCATGGCTCCAGAGGCAAAAGGACTTAATCCAGAGTCCAGCAGCTTGCGGCAGAAAAGTGAATGGACCATGCATTAAACTACGACGCAATGCCTCCCTGGGAGGGAAAGGGTGTTGCTCCCTTCCGCCTTTTTCTCACCCAGCAGCAAGGTGGCCGCCACCTCAGAGCTTATTGGAAAGCCAGGTATGAGTCAGCAGTGACGGGGCAACTGCAGTCTCATGGGAAGGGGGGAGGTACAAGCTCGTCCTTCACGCCCTACTGAGGTCACAGGTTTCCCCCCACGTGCGGTTCTGCGGCACGGCCATGGCTCCAGAGGCAAAAGGACTTAATCCAGAACCCGGCAGTTTGCGGCAGAAAAGCGAATGGACCATGCGTTAAACTAGAACGCAATGTCTCCCCAGGAGGGAAAGGGTGTTGCTCCCTTCTGCCTTTTTCCCACCCAGCAGCAAGGTGGCTGCCACCTCAGAGCCTATTGGAAAGCCAGGTATGAGCCAGCGGTGACGGGCAACTGCAGTCTCATGGGAAGGGGGACGGTACTGGCTCGTCCTTCACGCCCTACCAAGGTCACGAGTTGCCCCCCACGAGTGGCTTTTCGGCACAGCCTTAACACCAGACGCACAGAAACCAATCTCGTAATTATCTGGCTTTTTGCAGAAATCCAAAATCATTATATGATTCTCATAACCAGCTATAGAAAACAAAGTATTTCACAATGCCTTTTCAGCAATTCTGATTATTGGGGAGGGGGGGGAATTCTAAACAATAATGGTGCAATTTTTTTGTCAAAACAATGAATATAATCAATGTAGAGAAAAGTTAAGTAGAAATCATCTGCCTCACAGGAATTGGGAGGGTTGGGAGGGGGGTATATTGTGGTTCTTGTTGGTGAAAAATGAGTACTGGTGAAGGGAAAGGTATTTGATCATTGTATGACTGAGACTTAAACCTGAAAACTTTGTAGCTTTTTCCACAGTGATTCAATAAATAAATATAAGAAGAAAAAATAAATTAAAAAAGTATAGTCGAAGTGACATCAGCACTTGCTTGTTCATTGCAGCACTCTTTACTATAGCCAGAATCTGGAAAAGATGTCCGAGAAAAGATGACTGGTTAAAGAAACTTTGGTACATCTACACAATGGAGTGCTATGTAGGTGTTAGAAAAGATGAAGTCATGAAATTTACATACAAGTGGTACTACATGGAAAGTATCATGCTAAGTGAAATGAGTCAGAAAGAAAAGGATAGACATAGAAAGATTGCATTCATCTGGGGGACATAAAGTAACAGAATGTGAGACTTACACCCAAGAATAGTAGAGATGTGTACCAGGAGAATTGCTCCACGGCTTGGAAGCCAGCCTCACATACTGTGGAAAAGGAGTTCAGAGAGAGAAGGGACCATCAAGTAAAGAGTGCTTGGATGGCCAGCTCAGGATGGGAGATATAAGCTCAAAGTAGACTATAGACCGAACATGATGGCCACTTAATACCTGTATTGCAAACCACAACACCCAAAAGGAGAGAGAGAACAAAAGGGAATGGCCTGCCACAGAGACGGGATGGGGTGGGAGGGGGGTGGAGGTGGTGGGAGGGATAGTGAGATCATTGGTGGTGGAGAATGGGCACTGGTGGGGTGATGGGTACTTGATCATTCCATGACTGAAACGTAAGCACAAAAGCTTGCAAGTCTATAACTATACCTCATGGTGTTTCACTAATAAAAATTTTAAAAATGTTTTAAAAAAAAGGGGGTATGGTGCCGCCAGCAGGTCAATCTGTACCTGTGAGGCGAGTGCATCAGCAGCCTGATGGCACCTCCAGACTTCCAGATACCCCAAAATTGCTACTGTGCCTTTGGCCAGATCCCAAAAACTTGGGGCAAAGTTTACCAAGAAAGTAAACGGCCATAAGTTAGGTATGTGGGAAACACACCCACAAACCACCTCCGGCTCAGCTATATAATTGGAAGCATGGCCTCTCTGGCTCCTGATCAAGCTGCTTAATGGTTATGATCCCAGAGACTCAGAAACAAATCTCGAAACCCAGCGGCTTTTGGCAGAAATGTGTCTGGAACACACAGTAGGTTACTGTCACCGGGTCACCCCAGGGGGAAAAGGGTGCTGTCCCTCTGCCTGCTCCCTCTTGGTGGTTTGGTGGCCACCATCCTCCAGAGGCCACTGGACAGTCAGATTTGGGTCCTCAGAGATGAGACATGCGGGGCCTTGTGGGATGGGGGTGAACCCGACCTTTTCCTCCCGTCCCAACGAGACCCCCTAGTCGCCGCCCATCAACGACCTTTCTGGCTCCTGATCAAGCTGCTTAACCAAAGGCCATGATCCCAGAAACTCAGGAGCAAATCTCGGAACCCAGCAGGTGTTGGCAGAAATCCCTCCAGATTTAAGTGTCAAAATTTCGGAATTTCAAAATTGCGCGGCCACTACTGCAGCCACGCGACATCATATGCTATTCATAACCAGCAATAGAAAACAATCATAGATTGCATTTTTCTCCATATTTTCTCCATATCGTCATAGTCATATTTTTTTCTCCCTGTCATGTGACGGTGTCACGAGGTGCTGTTCCCTATCCATTGGCCACTGCATGGGTCCCTTGGGTGCGGGGCTGGGGACGCGGGTGGGGGAGGGGTTCAGAGACTCTGAGTTTCTGTTCTTCCTCCTCTTGGTTTTCTCTGTGTTCTTTCAATTCTCCTTTCACTTTGCGAAATCCTGGTTTTTACTACTGGGGCCGGAGCGATAGCACAGTGAAGAGGGTAGTTTGCCTTGCATGTGGCCCACCTGGGTTCCATAACCCAGC